TGGTTACAGATGTTAATTTTGACTGAGAACAAACCTTAATATTAGATATTCAATAAGGGTTAGGGTTTTGAAATCAAAGCCCCAATGGCACAGCTATCTTGGGTGGCTGTAAATAGGAACATACCTAACCTACGGAAGAGAGCTCTCGTAAATATTCAATTCGACTAGAAGGGAAAGTATTTGCTGAAAAACCCATGGTGGAGACGTGAACCGAGTGATGGCTTGTGAAGAAGATGTAGACAACGGTGGCGTGGATCGCCGACGGGCTGGTGGTCTTTGGCCATGGCGGAAGCTTCGGCTATGGTGGAAGAGAAAAGAAAGGTGAAGAGCAAGAGAGAGAGGGAGGCCAATCGTTCTTCTCTCGCTATGGTGGAAGAGAAGAGAAATATAGCGACCCCGGTCTTTTCCCGTTTGATTATTGTATCCGGACTTAGGTTCCGTAGATTCTGTCATTGTATAATTGTTGTTGTTATTGTCCCTTATTTTCTCATTTGAAATTATAGGATGTATTTGGGCAGGTTTGTTTCAGGTTGGTAGGGTTTAGAAACCAAGTGTTGCTGTCCAGAATTTTGGATCCTCGCTCGAGCGAGGATTTTGTCGCTCGAGCGAGATGTTGTTTTGGTTCTTCGCTCGAGCCGGGGTTTGGTAGCTCGAGCGAGAGTTTGCGTCTGGTTTGGACCAGTAGCTTTGCATTCTTGGCTCGAGCGAGCTTTTCTTCGCTCGAGCGAGTTAGTTCGTTCTTCGCTCGAGCGAGAGTTCTTTCGCTCGAGCGTGTGTCTGGTTACAGACCTGAGGGTTTGAGTCCTTCGCTCGAGCGAGCTTTTGGGTTGTTGGCTCGAGCAAGGCTTTCTTGGCTCGAACGTAGTTTTCTGTGTCTGGTCGCTCGAGCGACCAAGTCTTCGCTCGAGCGAGCCTGTCAAGTTTAAATAGGCAGCAGCGTGTTTCAGATCTGTTTTTCTTGCACTTTCATATTCCAAAACCCTAGTTACGAGTTCTCTCTCCCTCTACACACCTTCTCTCTTAAGATTGATCTACTTAGAGTAAGTTTCTACCTTAGATCCTTTATTAAAAAGATAGAGTGGGTCGAGGGCTTCTATTTAATCTGAATTGTTGGTAGATTGGAGCACTTTGGAGTTTGGGTCTTCATCTCCGTCTTCTCTTTTGGGGCTATTTCTTCAAGGTAGGGATTTCCTACTCCATTTTATAGGTTTTGTTCTAAGTTTTGGCATTTTGATATGTTGGGGATACTTTGGTGATTTTCGGAAAACCCTAGTTGTATTAATAAATTAATTTGTATAATTAAATTCATGGTATTGGGGAATTCATTGATTAAATGGCGTAATTGGATAATTTGAATCATTTGACTATTGAATTGTTGACATAGTTATTTTCGGTTTAGAAATAACTGTTTTGGGCTATCGGTGGAGGATAGTCGTGATTGTTGTAGACATTGCATGTGGATTAGGAATAACTGAAACTAATCACATTGACTAAGTCATTGAGTTTGACTGTTGCATTGATACAGAAAATACGTGTATTGATTGAGCATTGCATTTGCATACATTGTTTATGTGTGTGGGAGGAGATAGGGGATGTACTCCACGGTTTAGGGGAAGCTAGGGGATGGATCTCTAAACCGGATTTTGTTTGGGAGGAGATAGGGGATGGACTCCATTAGCATCACTTTTATGTGTGCTTATTTGTATAGAAGTGTTTTATTGATACAACACTAAAATGTGTATCAATCTGGAAGTATGAAGTGTTTTGATTTGAGCTTGAGTCTCATTTGATTGTTGATATTGGAAGAATGTGATTATGATATTTATATAGTTCACTGTTGTAAGTTTGGCCAGGTTCTGAGCCGTGTTGATAAAGTTGGAAAGTAAAACGTGTCATAGACAATAGTGTCATGTGACTGTAAAATGAAGTAATTGATTATCTTGGTTAACCATCTGTTGAATGCTATTGCTTTATTCATTGCTTATATGTGGTTTAGTATATTTCTACTGGGCTGTGGCTCACCCTTTATGGGAACATCATTTTCAGGTTCAGGTGATAAACTACCTCCAAGGACTTAGCTTGGGAGGGTTTGGCTACTGGATTTGAAGAAGACTATCTTTAGTTAATTGTCTTTATTTATTGGTACATGTAAACATTCAAGCCTAGGGCTTTTCTTGTATTGAGTTAGAACTCATATCTTTGTATCCAAGTGTTGGCTTGGAAAGATGTAAGCCTGTAGGGCATTTTATTCGATGTTACATGTAATACTTTTATTTAGTAATACTCTGATGAATGAATTAATAAAATGTTTTCATTAAATAATGCATGTCAATGATATGTATAATGGGTTTATTTTGTGGGCGTGACAAGAAAGGTGAAGAGCAAGCGAGACAGGCTATGGTGGAAGAGAAGAGAAAGGTGAAGAACGGTGGCCCCGACGCTTGACCGTTGGACTTCGACAATCTCTGCAGCTTCGGCTATGGTGGAAGAGATGAGGGAGGAGAAGAGAAGATCAAGAGCACGAACCAGAGCAAGAGAGGGAGGCAACTGACTTGGGACCGTTGGACTTCTGATTTTGGCAACCGGTTAGACCGGTTGCCAATTCAAAATTAAATTATTAAAATAATTTAGTTATATGATAGTTATAAGATAATATGGTATATATAAATAACTAAATATAACTAAGTTATGAGTAAATATGAGAATAGTTATGATTTATATGATATTAGTTATGATATTAAATCACATAATCTCATAACTAATGTATGGTACATCCAAATGTACCATAGGGAAAGTCTATAGTACATTTTGTACAAAAAATTTCAGTAGAGATAAATGTATCAGTCCCACATATTTATTAATGTGAATCTATTATATTTTATTTACTGATAAAAAAATCTAATAAAAAAATCCATTCATATATTAGATTAGTGTTTTGTCAAAGAGTTAGCTTCATTATATTGACATTTACATTTTTAATGCCATTTTATAGTTTAATTAAAAATTTGTAATGTGTACTTTTATTGAACATGTTAGGAAATTTAAAATATCTTTATAATTTTTATTATATATACTTTGGGAAAATATTCCACTGATGTGTACTTTTCTTGAAGGGCATTTTTTTCTTTGAGCAAATCTTTCAAGAGTCTGAGAAAAGCAATAAAATTAAATAATATTACAATCTTCGCTATTAAAAATTTAGATTTTTCCCAAATAATTACTAAAAGTGAAAATCCAAGTTCGACAGCTCTAATTTTATTAAAAATATTAAGAAAATAGAATTTTAACTTTAAACTCACTAATATGTGCGTAGTATTGAAATATATTTGTAATACAAATTTTCTTTATAAACGCAGTATTATTACAGACTATTAAAATTAGAAAATTTTAAAATTCATTATAGAATTTATGATATCAAAGTATGTGTTGACACCTTATTTTTACCAATTTTAAGAAAATAATAAATAAATAAAAATATTCACCTTGTTTGGTTTAAATTTTCTTAATTCATTTTTTTTTAAATTGAATTTTTTATTTTTATTTTTTGTGTTATTTAATTTTTAGTTAATTTTTAAAATATTTTAAACAATTTTTTAAAAAAAATTTTTAGATACACTTAATATAAATACTATTAAAAAATATAATATTTGTAAAAAAAATTTAAGAATTCACTAAATACCAAAAGTATATTTTAAAAAAAATGAAAATTTAATATATTTTCGTATTGTTGTGTATTTATTGATTTTTTTTTTAAATGTTTTACCTTTTAGGTAGATCTAGGTTAGGTATATCTAAAAGGTATTAAAAAAAAATGTTACTTAAAATATTTAAAAAAATTCACTAAAAAAAAAAGAAAAAAAAATTCAATTTTCAAAACATTGAGTTTAGAAATTAGAGCCAAACAAAGGTGATTTATATTTCTTATTATTATTCTTTAATTTTACAAGATAAAATGGGGTTTACAAGATCACATTAAACATTTCATGTATAATATGATAGTTTTATGCATAGCTCTATGAAAATCTCGAATTGTACAACAAGCTTGTTGGGTGAATATCCAAATACATGCCAAACACACGTTCAATATATACCTTTATCCAAATGTCACTTGTGTGGCACGAATGCTTCACTTATTTAGAAGAATTCATTTCAGATAGAAAAAGAGATGAAAAAAGAAAAGATGAAATTGAGATAAGGAAGCAAATTTATGCTCTTTTGTTTAAATGGCACTAGGTTGGGTCAGTTTATTAATGTGTCTCCATGATGATATAGAAAGAGATTGAGGAATACATGTTAATTTCCTTGCAGTTTATTCCAACAACATTGACTCTTGATTCAGAAACAGTGAAGTTGATTTACTAAATTGTATGGACAAGGTGAGGAAATCTTATAGGATATTTAGGTCTCGTTTGGGAACATGTTATTTTAGTAATTTTTTTGGTTTTTTGGCTAAAATATGAAGTAAAAAAACTAGTACGTTTGGGGTATTTTTTGACTTTTTACGAAAAAATGTGCAAAAAGTAAAAAGAAAAGAGAATCTTTGATTTTTTAATATATATTATAGGCTTTTTAATTTTTTCAGTAACTTTTTAACTTTTAAGTTAAAACAACTACTTGCCAAACAAGGCCTTAAACTTTGATTTGCTTTCTATTCTATGCTTTGTTTTGTAGTTTAAATTCACTAGTCATGAGTTTTCATATGTTGGTTACATAGTTTAGTTATGTATAGTTTGATTCACACGGAATATATAAAGGGATGAATCTTGGTTTAAATTTAAAAATTAATAATTTTACTAATTTACAAAAAAATAATTTTATTCAAAATTGAATTGTGTAGTAAAAATTGAATTGATATAATGTAAGTTCCACATATAAAATAAATTTAAATTATAGATTGATTTTCTATGCAAAATTATAGATAAAAAAAATCTAATGCTACTTAAAATAGATAGTAGGCCTTATAGGTAACGGGTTGAGTGTGCCTTTTGGTCAATATGTTGCAAAAGAAGAATGGATTAGGGCCCACAAGATGAAAGCAGAAGGAAAGAGATTCTTTCCGTTCTACATACGTAATGAACGATTTTCATTAAAAATATAAATTTATAATTATTTTAAATTTTAAAAACTATTATACTTATGTAATACAATACCTGAACCGAGAGCACCCCTTGCTTCTTCTTAGGCACCAGCTTACCTTCAATGCTGTAATCAGGGTTGTAGAAATTGAGACCTTGAAGCTCTACGTGGGCAAAAGCTTCAATGAAGTCCACTCCATGGTTGTTGCAAAGAAGCTGAGGTTCACCCACAGTGTTGTGCACAACCTCCCCAGCAAATGGATAGTAAGAAACTAAAGCTTGAGACATGGCCTTCTTCAAAACACCGATCATGGAGGCAAATGTGAACAACATTAAGGCCCCTTCTTTTCCAATGAGTCTTGTGGTGGTGGTGGTTGGATTCTTATAACAAAAGAACACAGCGACGTCGACAGGAGGCAAGAGCAAGTCATGGTTGGAAAGCGGTAGTAAATGCACACGCATCGGCAACGCTACCGCCACCACTTCCGTCTTCCTCACCTCCACCACCACCAACTCTCCTTTCCCACTCATTTTTTGTTTATTTCAGAGAGAACTGAGTTGGGGATATGGGAGGCGACGACGGAAAATTTATAATGGAAAAATGCACCTGCACATGATACAGACATGGGTGGGCCTTCTCTAAGTTACGAGAAATTCTATGAAACGTACCCTGTGCAGTGGAAAAAGGAAAATGAGTGGGAGCTCTAATTAAAGTTATCACTAATGATGTGACAGTGAGTCTCACCCACTGTCACAGTATATGTTGTGTATGTGTGTGTGTGTGTTTTTTTTTTCTTTTCGTTTTCCACCTCGTTAGTGGTGGATTAGAACCACCAAATTATGTCTCTACGATGACTGGTGGAAAAATGCACCTACACATAATACAGACAGAGATGGGTGGGCTTTGTCTACGTTGCGAGAAATTCTATGATACGGGCCCTGTGCCTCAATTATCACGTGTTTTTTAATTTTTTTTATTTTATAATCAAGTATCTGGGTCAATACCCATTCGGAGTAACGCATCTCGACTAAATTTTTTTTTTTAAAATTTTATAATCGAGTATCTGTGCCAGCACCCATTCAGAGTGACGCATCTCAACTAATCTCGGCTTTTCTTTTTTTTTTTTAATTTTATAATCGAGTATCTAGGCCAGCACCCATTCGGAGTGACGCATCTCGACTAATCTCGGAACTATGAGCCGATCGACCAGGTAAAGACGCAATGGCCCGCCAGTAGCCAATTGGGGATAAGATTCGAACCAGGTAAAGATGTAGTAGTCCGTCAGTAGGGTCCGATTGACTAGGCAAAGACGCAATGGTCCGCTAGTAGCCAATTGGAGATGAGATTCGAACCAGTTAAAGATGTAGTGGCCTTCTAGTAACTAGCTAGGGGTGGGATTCGAAATTGAAACCTAGAGAGGAGCATACTCCTATAGGTCTTTGGTCCCTTTCCCCTCAACCAATCGGGCTACCCTTGCGGGCAAGGTTCTGAAAAGCGGTTGCGGTGGCCGTGCGCGGTTGCGGTTGCGGAGTGTAAAGGCAGTAGCGTAACGGTTGCGGTAACCGGAACCCTGAATTTTTTTATTTTTCACACAATTTGAAAAAAACTTACCGATACGCATATTTTTTTTCCATGATCATATTTATTGGGTTTAAAATAAATATTGATCAATTTTTGTAAATTTTTAAGTATAATCTAATATATTTCATATTTTTAAATCACCATAAATTGAGTTTTTTACATCTAATTTTAATAATTAATGACTTTATATTATATAAAAAATCAATCACTAACTATTATATATGAGATAAACAATAACAAAAGTAAGAGAATAAATAAGAGCCTAAATATATATATATATATACATATTTTAACCAAGCCAAATAGAAAATGACCACACTTATTAATATTATTATTATTTTCAAACAATATATAGATAGACACACACAAACAAAATAATTGAGTGATAGCAGCTAAATAGAATAGCGTAGGTCTTATAGTTTCAACAAATCAATAACATATTCTTCATTTTCCCTCTTCTCTCTCTCTCTATCTCTTGCTCCTCCATCTTCTCTATTTATCTTCCCTCTTCTCTCTATCCCTCTTCCCCCATTTTCAGCTTTTTTTTGTGTGTTTTTTCGAAAGAAGTAGTTCAGAACCGTTACGTAACGGTGCGTAACAGACCGTTACGGCACCGTTACGACCGCTACGGCAGTCACTACGGCCGACACATCTGTGAATCTCAATCACACTGCAAAAGCGGTCGTAACGGGTGGTTTTTCGAAAGAAGCAGTTCAGAACCGTTACGTAACGGTGGATAACAAACCGTTATGGCACCGTTACGACCGCTACGGCAGTTGCTACGGCCGACACATCTGTGAATCTCAATCACACTGCAAAAGCGGCCGTAACGGGTGGCGATAACCACCACAACCGTTACGTAACGGTTACGGCCGCTTTTTAAAACCTTGCTTGCAGGTTACCTCAATTATCATGCTAGTAGTATTTGGTTAAGATTTATTGTGATTTTAGCTATAACTTTGTTGTAATTTTGTTATATAAATTGTAAAGTTAGTTATGACATTATGATATTGGTTATAATTTTAATTTAATTATGATTCAAAACATTTTAATTATACCTTGTTGTATTTTGTTATGACTCAATTTTTTTTAATTATAACTCTAAAAGGATTTAATTATGACTGAAAAATCTAGAAATCCCCTAAATGTTGATTTGTGATTATGTATCAATTTTAAGCAGCATATAACAATCCCAATCAAACAATCAAGACAAATTGACACAACGATTTTACGTGAAAAAACCACAATTGGACACCTCTAATTGTGATAAAAAAAAAAACCACGGGCAACAGCCACAAAACAATCTACTAAGAAGATATAAAGGAATTACACAGGTATACTCTCAATTACCTAGCGAATCCACGCCCGAATTGAACCAACCTCTATGTGCATCTTCCAACCCCGTCTTCACCTCGGAATTGTCTTGACGATGAGCCACTTCGGAATCCACCAAAGCTTCAGGCTCGAATTCTTCAGAATCCACCGAAGAACAACTCTCTCTTTTGTGTAGAACAAACAAATAATCCTTTGATGTATACTCTTTAAACCATGAGTTGAATACTCAATCAAAACATCAAAGAAAACTAGCAAAATATCCCCAGATAAAAACCCTAGAACCCAAGAAGAAGATCTGGAGAAGTAATCCTAAATTCTGACAGAAACCCGTACTTATAGAAATCTGGAACTGCGAGGCTCGCTCGAGCGAGGAACCAAAAATGCGTGTTTTCCATAAGTAGCTACGCTCGAGCCACGAAACCTTCGCTCGAGTGTACATTCATCTCTTTTAGGTTTTTTGCCAGACGCAACCTTCGCTCGAGCGAGCACTCCTTCGCTCGAGCAAGCAATGGCGGACATACAACTTCGAATATAATTTTGCATTTTGCTTCGAGGGCGCTGCCCCTCGACCCCGCCGTGGCACTGCCCCGGATCCGCCAAGGGGAGCTGCCCCCTAGACCCCCGCGAGCTGACCGGGCAACTCGATCCCCGTCATAATCAGCGAAGTGGCAATCTTGAAAGTATTAACATCACAAACTTCTCTACAAGGTACAATTTGGGTTGGATTCGCATCTAAACAGTCATAGCCTCACTGAAATAAAAAGTGCGAAAATAAATACAACTTAAAGGAGTTTTGCCAAACGGGGTTGCCAAGAATAAAAGCCTAACAATCTCCCCCTTTGGCAATGCCGTGACAAAACACACCTAACAAATAAAATCCTAAACGCCCCAACCCTCACAGTCAATAAAAACAAACTTTTTTCTCAAGGTCATGATCTGCAAAACAACTATTAGTGCCACAATCTCCAAAACAACTATTAGTCCCACAAGAGTATATGAAAAAGCAATAGACATGTGACACGATTATCTTGAAACATGAGATGGAAAACATGAATAGATGAAAACTAAGACTCATGAAAAACAACTCTCAAGCAACAAAAGCAAGATCATGAACCACACAAGCAATGATATGACGATGTAAATACCAGGAACATACAAGAAGGGCAAACAGTGCATAGCAACATGCAAAACATATAGCCAATCTCCCTTACCAAACATAAATCAAGATGAACCAAACTCCCCCTTACTAAAAGCAACCACAAACACTGAAAACACTGAACAAGAAGAAAGCGACAAAAAATAATATGGTGGAGCAAGCAAGGAATTTCTGATTTGTACCTTGAAACACACAAGATTATCCAAGAAGCACCACTACAAGTAAACACAATGTGTACAGTTTGTAGAAGATTCCTCATGAAAGAAAGTGATGCATTATGTGAAAAGCATAGATCCCATGATAAAAGTGTGTGTGTGACTCTTGGAGTTCGACAAACACTAAATTCAATCCTAGTAGTGATCTGAAAGTTAGACCTCTGACAAGAGAATCTTAAGTACCCCAAAGGAAAGTCAAACCACTGGGAATCAAGGGGTATTTGGTAAGTAAAGGCGGAAGCTCCCCCTCAATCAATGAATCCTTTATTTTTTCCTTTCTTTTTTTTTTTTTTTTAAATCTTTTTGCTGGCTGTATATTTCTTTTTCTTTTGGCACAGCTTTTTTTTTCTTATTTGCAATTTTATTTATTTCTTTCTTTGCAAATTCATGGCGCATTGACAACTCAGAGATCGGAACCGAACCAGAGAAGCTATGGAGTTATAAATAAGGATGAGCCCTGGTCTGGTGACTCTGAGGTAGCCTTTCCTCATGTGGGACTTACAAAGAGTATAGGGGGAAGCCGTTGGAGATGTCAAAAAGATGGAAGATGGTTAAGAGCGTCAATCATTACCCATGATATATAACTAGTATAAGTCATTTCCCTCTTAGAAAAAACGCAAAGATATTTCAATGACAGTACATGTCTTAGAGAAAAAATAATCAGCTAAGGCGGGAAGACTCCAACAAATTTGCCTAAATCAAAGGAGTGTGTAAAGAATGAGACATCCTAATAAATAAAATCGCACTCCAAATGAGTAATGACCAAAGAAAAGCACACATTATATTGTAAAAACATGTACATGGATATTCTCATCAATCCATCACTAAGGACACACTCAAAAAAAATATTTGATAGCTTGCAAAACCATAGACTAAGTAAAATCTTTTTTGGGTTTTTTTTTTTTTTTTCAAAAAAAATAGAAGGCAAGACAAAAAATGAACAAAACACATATTAAGAAAAAAAAAACACACAAAAACGCAAAAACTAAAAACAACAAAAACACATAAACTACGGTTCAAGTTTATACACCCGAATATGTGGCTTTAAGGTAGACGAAAGTTGTATTTAAATTCGTACCGCATAATGCTCTGGTCTTATTATTGTCTAATCGGGGCAAGGCACTATTACTGAATAGTATTTCTTTCTTGTAAAATGTTGATTGTATAGTTGACACAAAATATAGTATTGATCATTTTAATTTTTGCTTCGAATTTGGAAACGCATATGACATATAACATACTAAATTTGTTGAGGGGTTCTTATACATTCATGTTAAGGTGATAATTATTGGGTTGAATGGCTATCTTACTCAAGAAATGGATCAAATGCATGATGAATGAGTTTACTGTGTAT